AGCGGGGCGGAACCGGCCGTCCCCGCGCCGGAGGCCGCCCCACGCCGAGTTCCTGCAGCCCTCCGCGGCTTCCTGCCCCCGCCCCATCCGCCGGCCCCTTAGTCCCCGCGCCCCCCACCCCGCGGCTCCTTTCTCTGCCCACCGCTCTGCCCTGCGTCCCCTACCCCCCAGCTCCCCCCAGCGGCCTGCTGGCACCTGGGAGGTGTCCTGAGCGGCTTCGATTCCGCCGACACCGAGTACCCGGGGTGCCCAGCTCGCTCAGCTGCTCCCGTTCGTAGAAGCGGGCACGGCGCCGGCCCCGTTAGGCATTATTTTGTCCTCACAACAAACCTGTGGGGTAGGTACTCCTTCTCTGTCGTACAAAAGAAAGCCTGAGGCCTAGAGAAGTTCACTTGCCCGGATCGCAGAGCTAGAGAGTCTGTGAAGAGAGAGGCGCGCTGTGTTCAGGGCACATTGTGTTGAGGGGAGCAGACAGGTACCCGGGAAATAATAACGCAAAACAGAAAGAGGTGAGGGCTTCTTGCCTGGAGGAGGAAACAGGCTGTGGAGTGCGGGGCAGGGAGGGAAGGGGCCGGCCTCCGCTGCCGCGCGCCCTTCCTGCCCCGTGCTCCTGTGGTTTGAGCTGCGCTTTTAGGGAAGGCTAGGATTTCATCAGGCTGAGCTGGACCCGTGGAGCTTTTCAGGTAGGGAGGACGGCTTGGGCACAGAGAGACAGGCAGTGTGGGGCATGTTCAAGGGTAGGAAAGGAGTCGTACGCCTGGAAAAGATGGTTTTGGTAGCGGGCAGTGAGAGAGGAGGCTGCAGGGAGAGTTGGAAGGGGTTTCAGTGCCTGGACTTCATCCTAAGGGTGGGGAGCCCTTGAAGGATTTGGAGTTCTCTCACCATCAGCTCCCGTTAGAGTTCCCGCTTTCCTGGCTGGGGTCTGAGGACAGCCCCATATTGTCTACCCAGCATCTAGTAAGGAGCTGGGCTGGAGCAGAAACAGTTGTCACCTCCCACCAACTGGTGTGAAGGCCTCACGTGGGACTCCCTGCCCTGTTAAAATGGTAAGAAAACTGCACATGCCTTGTTTATAAGGGAGGAGTTTATGCAGATGCCCTTGTCCTGCAACGCAAAGACTGTAGTCAACACAGCCGGCTGCAGTTGGAGGGGGAGCTGGGCATGAAGTGCAAGGACACCTCTGGAGCAAACCCATGGAGGCTGGGGTCATATAGCAGGGATTGATCAGAGAGGAGGAGAGAGGGAAAGGGAAGGAACGGTGGCTGTCGTGGAGGGCAGCCTCACACACCCAGTGCTGAGCCACCCAAGGTGCCCGCCCAGTGCAGTCCCTGCAGCCTTGGGGCAGGACCACCTACCTCTCGAGAGCAAGAGTCCCCCCCATCCACTTGTGCCCTCAAACGGGTCTCTGCCCATCCAGCTCCTCCCCATCCTCTGAAACCCAGCTAAGCCCTTGCTTCTTCAGGTCAGAGGTCATCTGGTCCAGCCTCCCTCCAAACAATCACAGAATTGCTGATGCTCCATCCTTGACAGTTTTTTTGGCCTCTGCTCAAACTCTCCTTCTGGCGCTATTTTCTGACGTGTCCACTCATGTTCTGGTTCTTTATGGCTTTCTCTAAATGAATCCACGCTGGTTCCTACTAGTCACTTCTCTATTTTGCAAATAAGTCGCCAACCTTTTGTTTAGGAATAATTTCTAGCATGTTGTAAGGAACCATCAATCCTCAGGCACTGCCAGAAGAAGGCACAAATGGCAAGACCTCCTCTTGGACCCCTGGGTCCACCCTTCAGCTGTGGGTGAAGTGGGTCCAGCCCCCACCCAAAGCAGAAAGTGCCCTTTCCTCAGTGTCCCCAGCTGCCCCAATTCAAGCTACTGTGTGAACTTTGCGGCGACAGGGAAGTCACGGCGTGGGGAAGCTCCATGTCTTTATGATGGTTGTCACACATTTAAAAGCCTTGCCCTATGGCACATGTCTTACCTTCCTCACCAGTCTGCAAGGTGTGTCACTGATCCGGGGCAGCTACAAAGATGTCTGAGACCTACTTCTCCCCTTGGGAGGGGTGGGAACAGTGAGAGAAAAATTCAGAATCTCGGGGGGCTCAGGGGACTAGTGTTGTATCAAAAAGTCTCTTGGTTGGTGGGGATTTGCAGTAATGGTGGTTTTTAGTTTGGTGGTAGGCAGTTGGAGAGGGGACAAATCAGATTGTCCTGGGGGAGAGGAATTACCCATTAAGTTTTTATGTTTATCAAAAAGAGACACGAGATGCTTTAAAAAAAAAAAAAAAGAAATTGAGCAACGCTCTTGTTTGTGCCGTTTCAGTGAACCAGCTGTTTTTTTTGCTAGGTCATCATCAGTAGACAGTTCCTGTGCGATTATGATGGGAGGTGCCGGCTGGGCTCTAGTCAATCTGCAGTTTACTGTTTCTCCACTAAAACGCCCCAGCAGTGCTCAGTCACTGTTTGTTTAGCAGAATTGTACCGAGTGCCTACCATGGGCCCTGCACTGTGCTGTGAAAAGACGCAGTGTTGCCTTCGGAGAGCTGGTCGAGGCTGTGGGGAGTTACTGTGTAGGGCGGTCAGTGCCATGCTTGGAGTCTGTGCGGTGTGCTGCAGAGGCCTAGAGGGGAGACATCCGCCCAGACTGAGGCGATGTCTAAGAGACCCAGAGGAGCTGATCACTGGGCTGAGATCTGCGTGTGACACAAGATATCCCCACTTTCCTCATCTGCGCTCCCCGCCCCAGCCCAGCTCCCGCACGCCTAGGGGAGATGGGCCCAAGGACACGGTGGATGGAATGAATGATGCTGGTCTTCTCTCTCTGTTTCTGAAAGATTTCTCCGTGGACAATGGCAGCTACGATACAGGCCATGGAGAGGAAGATCGAATCGCAAGCTGCCCGCTTGCTTTCTCTAGAAGGTCGAACTGGGATGGCTGAGAAGAAGCTGGCCGACTGTGAGAAGACGGCCTTGGAGTTCGGGAACCAGCTGGAGGGCAAGTGGGCCGTGTTGGGGACCCTGCTGCAGGAGTACGGGCTGCTGCAGAGGCGGCTGGAGAACATGGAGAACCTGCTGAGAAACAGGAACTTCTGGATCCTGCGGCTGCCCCCCGGCAGCAAGGGGGAGGCCCCCAAGGTATCCCTGGGGCACCTGGGGTAGGACAGCCCGAGAGGCCATGCATGTGTGTGGGTGAGCATGCGTGACGCTGTGGTTCCAGGTGTCTGTGACCCCTGATGACATGGCCGTGTGTTTCTCTGAATAGGAGTGGGGCAGGCTGGACGAGTGGCAGAAGGAGCTCTACAAGCACGTGATGAGGGGCAACTACGAGACACTGGTCTCCCTGGGTAAGGCCTGATCCCCCTCTGTTCAGTGTGGTGTGGGGAGTCCTCAGACCTCTCTCCGTGCTGGTGGATTTCATCACAGGGATGTGTAAATCACTGGGAACTCTGACCATGCAGAGTTATCCCCTCCTCTCACTAAAGATGAGCACTGACTGAGTGGAAAGCTCCCTTCCACCTGATGAAGTTCGTGGGTTGCCAGACGGAGGGGGGTGGCCCCTCTCCTAGTCAGGCAGGGAGCATGGCCCTTTCTGTTCTGCTGAGACTTGGTGTAGAGAAGGCTCCTCCTGCTCTTGGATCCAGGATATGATCGACTCCCGTTTGAGAAAGACTTTCTTGTAGCTTTTTCTTGCTGAGGTGTGTGCCCTTGACCATGACGCTCCCCTGGGTCAGTGGAGAATGTGGGCAGACCGTGCTTCTGATGGCCAGCGCTGTCTCCATGCCTCGAAGTTCTGCTCCCCCAGACCCTGGGGCTGCTGCAGTTCCCTTCATTTGGTCCCATGAGAAGGGCTGGGCTCATTTCCTTTGCGGTGGTTTCTGTGGGACCCCAGGTCTGAAGGCAATAAGGCATACTTGGTGAGGATGGGAGCGGGTGCAGGTGTGATGTTATAGTTTCGTTTGCAGAAATGTACTGCTTCTTAGTGTGGAGACTCTGTACCAGAGTTTCTTAACCTCAGCACTGTTGACACTTTGGGCCAGATGATTCTTTGTTTGGGGGCTGTCCTGTACATTGTAGGATGTTCAGCAGCATCCATGGCCGCCACCCAGGAGGGGGCCAATAGCACCTCTCCCCCGGCCCCCAGTCATGACAAGCAAAAATGTCTCCAGACTTTGACAGAAGTCCACTGGGAGGCAGATTGCTTACGGTTGAGAACCACTGCTCTATACCAATCAAGGAATGTAGTTTCTAGGTCATTTTTGGTTTCCCAGGCTGTCTGTCCCCGGCTCTGAATGGAACGTGGCAAAAGATAACCTTTCCACCTTCCCTCAGATTACGCCATCTCCAAGCCCGAGGTGCTCTCCCAGACTGAACAAGGGAAGGAGCCATGTAGCTGGCGTCGCGCTGGCCCCAAGGTTCCAGATGTTCCTGTGGACCCGAGTCCAGGTGAGGGGCTGGGAGAGGGCAGAGACACCAGGCAATGAGGCAGAAGCAGGGAAGAGCCAGGGAGGGCGGGACCTGTCCAGGGAGAGCCCAGGAGAAGCGTCAGACTTGAATGTTTAAGTGTTTTGTAGTTGAGTTATGACCTATGGCCTGTTCAGCTAACACTTTGGCATTACTTCCCAGTGTGGAAACAGGCAGCAAACCTAGTCTTTTAGGAAAGAGACAGAGCCAGTGGCACAGAATTGGGAGAAGTGAAAGAGGACCCTGATAGGGAAGGTAGGAGTATATTAAAGTCAAACCTTTATTCATTCATAGCTTTAGGAAGAGTCCTCCTTGCCTCCATCCAAGAACCAAATTGCATTTAAATCCACGAGTAGTCACAGAACGTTGACCCGTGGGTTAGCTGCAGGTTTCAGTATGATTAGAACCATAGATTTATTTAAGGAGAATCTGGATACCCGATACCACTGTCTCAGATTTTCCTGGAGCCCGTCAGCACCTTCGACAGCTAAGGGAAGGACAGGTGGCCGCTTGGGAAGAGCCAAATGACTAAAGCGAGGACCTTGCTGGGCTGCAGGGTAAATGACAGGCTGCCGTGTGACAGGGAGACCCGCCTCTGCAGGCTCAACCTGCTTTCCACCACCACCACCCCCCTATCTGTCCCCACTGCCTGGGATTGCCCTTTCGTCCGGACACCTGTGTTACTAGGAAGTCTTGTGTTTAATTTGTAGATAATGAGATGCATCTTCCATGTTTGGTGCTTCCTCGAAATTAGGTTTTGCTTTACCAAGGGCAGACCATGTACAGGACCGACCACACTGTCAGCATTCAGGAAAGCACTCACCAGTTTAGTTCAACACACGTGTTTTGAGAATCCGCTAGGTGCCAAGGACAGTGCAGGAAGCTAGAGGACAGAAAATGACTAGGAGCCAAGTGTCTCTGGATGGAACAGAGGGTTATGACACGGGGGCTTCCAGCTCCTTAGCCCAGGTGAGAGGGTCACAAGGGGCTTATTTTATATTTATAACATCTGTGTGGAGGCTTCCATACCATCATTCATGAGCGCGAATGGGGGCTCAGAAATATGGTGGCTGCTGGTGAGACCCCCACCTCGCCCTGCCCTCTGACACTCACAGACTTCACTCTCTGCCTTGAGCCTGGCTGGCCTTCATCCCTGTCCACCTCAGTCCAAGAAGCCCAGCCCCCAGCTCACCCCTCACCCCCTCTGGGCTTGGAGCAGCGCGTTGTCGGACCCCCTCTTCCACTTCTCTTCAACTCCTGAATTCTCCCGCTGTGCCTTGTGGAACTCAGTCCTCTGCAGGACCACCAAATCCTCAGACTCTTCCCTGAGCATCCCTGCCTGTTCTTGCCCAGGGGAGACCTGGTTCTTCCTGGGGGCACTGCGTCCCCTGCAATCCTCCCCTTCCCCAAGTCCCTCTTGTCCCGGGCCTGGAGGGTGCCGGCGTCCTGGCTCCTGGGTATTGCCTCTGTGCCAGTCCCCCCTCCTCCCTAGAAATCCCCATCTTTGAATCAAACCATCTTTTTACCACCTTCTGCACACCTCGGGGCCTCCCCTCACTCTCGCATGTCTGCCCCTGCCGTCGTTCTTGGCGATGGCAGTATCCATCAGGATGGCCCTTTGCACCCCCCTCCTCTCCCTCTCCACCGCCCACCTCGTGCTCATTGCCTGACTGTTGAGGACGGTAAGGCACCCTTTCCGTCATCTGGATTTCAGCATGCTGCTCCCTGCCCTCCTCCTGCCCTTGCGGCTCACTCTTCCTCGTGCCCTGACTCTGGGAGCTCTCCAGTCCTTTGGCACCTGCCAGCCCCTGACCTGCTGCCTTTTCGCTGCCAGCTCAGCCTCATCTCCCTCTGCCAGCCTGGGTTCTGGGTCCATCATCATCACCCCTCCGTTGCACACGTCCTCCATCCCCTCGCCCTCTTAGTTCACTGTGTTCACCTGGCAGAGCCATGTCCTGGTTAAATCTGTCTGCCTGCTCTGCGCCTGCTCCCAAGCGGCTGCTTGTGGCCTCTGCTGGTCTCACCTGAGATTCAGGTGGGCATTCAGTGCTGCCCCGCAGTCACGTGGCGTCCCCTCAGTCCACTCACTTAGTATCCCAGAGGCTGGCAAACTGGCCCCCAGGTCAAATTGCCCACTGTCTGTTTTTGCAGCCCACGAGCTTAGAATGGTTTTTATATTGAAAAAAACTGAAACAACGCTCAGCCCTCACCACCCCACCTGCCCACCTGCCTGCATCCGTGCCCTGTTCTCTGTTTGCTCCTGTGACTGCGATAAACTGTCCACCCTCCGGTCACAGACCGGCCTCCACTTGGCACTAGATCCCATCCCGGGCCACCTTCTCCAGGACGGGGCCCAGCGGCTCTGCCCGGCGTCCACCAGCGTCTACCCTGCCATCATGCCCTCTTCTGGAAACACTCCTCTCAGCCCTGCAACCTACAGCCGCTGCCCCACTTCTCTGCTCTCCTCGTGGCACACTCCCTGAGAAGGTCCTCCATGCCCGCTGTCTCCAGCCCTCTCTTCCACTCTCTCTCACCCCTTCCACCAACACCCCTGTCAGGGCCACCAGGGACCTCTGTGGTGCTGTGGGTGTGCAGTCTCATGTGACCTGTTGGTGACATTTGCCACCCTCCATCACTCTCTCTTCCTGGGTTCACTTCTGTGACTGACAGGACACCCCACTCTCCGGGTTTTCCTCCTGCCTCACTGGCCGCCTTGCCTTTGCTGTTTCCTGTCGCTCTTTCTGACCTACACCATCCTCCTTGCTGTTCCCCCAGCACTCCAGGCTGGTCCAGTCTCCGGGCCTTTGCACCTGCAGTGCCCTCCGCCGGGAATGCTTTCCCGGCTCCATCCAGTACCTCCTCAGGTCTCTGCTTAAAGAGGACTTTCCTTACGCACCTTATTTAAAATTGCAGCCCCTCTCCCACCCAGGATTTCCAGTCTTCCTTTCCTGCTTTGGTTTGCTCCATAGCAGATATCATCTATTATGTATATCTTACATTTATAGATTATTATATATAGTTCATATTTGTAGATTTTTGTATATCTGGTCGCCCCCCCCCCATTAGAATGTAAATTTCAAGGAGGCAAGAACTTTTATCTATTTTGTTCATATAATCATTCTGGGCACCTAGAATACTGCCTAGCACAGAGAAGGAATTCAATACATATTTGTTGAATGTATGCTTTGTTATTTAAAATATGTGTGTGTATGAAATAATTATTTCTGATAGAATTTAAATTCCTTTTTAGATCTCCCAGTCTCATTCCTCCCTGTGTAACCAGTTTTCCTGAAGTTGATATTTACCCTTTCTACCCACATTTTAAAACTTCTGTTATGTACACAGGTAGCCATAAATAACATATAATATGGTTTTGTGTGTTTTGAAAAATTACAAAAACGTCATTATATTTATAACTCAATATTCTGTATTTTAGATTTATCTCTGTTAATGCATATAGATCAAGTTCATTCATTTTAACAGATGCTTAATACAGTCATGTGCCACATAAAAACAGACTGCATATACAACGGTGGTCCCATAACATTAGTACCATAGAGCCTAGGTGTGTAGTAGGCTATAATATCTAGGTTTGTGTAAGTACTCGATGATGTTCACGAAACAACAAAATCGCCTTATGACACATTTCTCAGAACTCATCCCGTCATTAAGCAATGCACGACTGTATTCCAAAAGCGACTATATTACAATTTGTTATCCATTCCTCCACTAAGTTGCACCTAAGCTACCTCTGATTTTTTGCTATCACAAGTGGTACTGCAGTGAACATTCTTGAACGTGTCTCTTTGTGTCCATATGCTGCTGAGGTTTCCCTAGGGAAGAGACCCGGGGAGGAATCCCTGCATCTCGGGCATGCTTGTCTGCACCTCTGCCACGGCCACGCTGCTCTCCCATGGTCACACTGGCTTATCCTACTCCCCCAGCAGTGAGGAAGTACCTGCTTTCTTACATCTTTGCCCGCTTTTCAGAATTAGATTTTTGCCAAGCTGATGGAGGTGAAATTGGATTTTGTTTTAATTTGCTTTTCCCTGTTAGTGAAATTGAGCACCCTTTGCATATGTTTATTTGGTTTCTTCTCTGATGAAATGTCTTTTCTGTTTTTCTGCTGCTGTTTTTCATTTTCTTATTGATTCAGGACTTCTGAATGTAGGTTCTAGATACTAACCCTCTGTCTGTTATTTGCATTACAAACATCTTCTCCCAGTCTGTGGCAGGTCTTTTAACTTTGTAGTTCTTGCATAAAAGTTTTAATTTTTGGTAGAGTCAAACATATCAGTCTTTTTCTTTATGATCTGTGCTTTTTCTGTCTTAATTTATCCTTCCCTACCTCCCTCCAAGTCAGAAAGACATTCTCCTATATTTTCTTATAAAACTTTTAAAGTTTGACTTTTCACATTTAAGTCTTTGATCCATCTAGAATTAATATTTGTGTAGATTGCAAGGGAGAATATAATTTTTTTCCCCCACAAGGATATCTGATTTTCCAACAAAGTTTGCTAATATTCTGTCTTTTCTCCAATGATTTGTATTGCCAATTCAGTCACGAACCAGGTTTCCATATGTATGTGAGCAGCTCCTGGGTCCTTTGTTCTATTTCTTTGCTCTCTGTTTCTGTGCCAGCACTCGCTGTTTTAGCTTCATAGTAAGCCTTGATATCTGGTAGACTAAGCCTTCCCTGCTTGCTCTTCAAAACTTTCTTGGCTGTTCCTGGACTTTTGTTCTTCTATATGAATTTCAGAATCTTTATGTCAAGTTCTTAGAAAATCCTGTTGGATTTTGATTGGAGTTGCATTTGCTTTATAATTTCATTTCTGGAGAAATTACCTTCATTACAACATGGAGCCTCTATCCATGGGAAGACGCTTCTGCGTGTGCTTGAATGAGGTTTTAGAGTTTTCTCCTGATAGTTGTTATTTCTGTTGTGAATAGGATTTTTAAATCAATTACATGTTTTAAATAGT